ATCGCTGAAGGTACACCTGCATTTATGTATGTTAATGAAGGCAAGTCACTAGTAACATAACGAATGGGCAGATGATATTTATGTTGATCTACAGGGTATAAAAATGCGGGCACAGTGACTTGATTCACTGATTCACTGATTCCGTTGATTGTATTTTTGGTACCGTTACTCAAAAAGCTGCGAGCGAACTTCTCTTCAACATAATTGCCCAGATCAGTTTGTAATGCAGTTTTTTGGTAGGAGGTGAGACCATTTCAAGGTTATGGATGAGTTGTAGACGTCGTCGGCATTGAAAAGTAACGTCAATATCATTGGTTAGTTACATCCTGTTATATCGTTGGAAGCCGAAATCAAACAAAATGATCTGCCACAGAAATATGGATGGATTGAAGTTATCACCTCACCATCATGATTGCTGGTCAGATACATTACCCGCTTTGACTTTTTGTTGTTAGGCCCCCTCAGGTTTTGTGGTATGTTTTATACAATGTTTTAGTCTAAGCCCTACTTTTTCGCACACCTAGTCGGAATACACTGTCTTCACTAGTTCCATGTTATAAGCGAACCATACCACTTTCGTTTCTGTATAATGGATTATATATATCTATATAGAATACCTCACTACTGTAAAGTTAACTTATGGTGTAGATTGTAAGAAATAATTTAGTAAATATGTAGTTTGGGGAAAATAAGAATAGATAATCGATCAAACAATGTGATGAACAGTGTTGAAAATGTATGAGGCCATGAGAAAGTGTTCGAATATAAGTATCAAAGTTTATTAAACTGTTAATACATGATCCTGAAGGAACTCACACTGATTGAAGATAGTTGGAGTTTCTTGTGATCGACGATAGTTGAGCTGCATATAAAGGTTCTGTAATTCGTCGGTCCACTGAAAATAAAAACTAAGAATGGTGTGAAAGACTGGAAGGTAATAGTGCGACTATAAATATTAAGGGGCTACTGCCGGTCCCAAGCCCCGATAAAGGAGGAGGGTTGGACATGGGGTTGGCGACCCCATTCTGTCAAAAACTAACTTGCCAAAAAAAACGCTAACCAGAAAAAATTATTCAAACCATTTTAACTCTGCCCTGGGAGTTGGAAGAAGAATTATGACGTCGCGTGATGAAAGCCGAGTTCCCTCGGAAGTCACGGGGCCGATGCCTCTTCTGACAACCAGAGCAACCATTCCTCTAGGTATATGGAACGTTAGTACATTGTGGGAGACTAGAAGACTATTTCAAGTTGCGGCAGAAATGAAAAGATACAACCACGAGGTGCTCGGCATCAGTGAAACGCATTGGACACAGGTAGGACAACTGAGAAAAGATACAGGGAAACTGGTGTTATACTCTGGTCATGAAAAGAAAAATGCTTCACATACACAAGGAGTTGCACTGATGCTGTCCAAACATGCACAAAAGGCACTGATAGGATGGGAATCTCATGGACCAAGGATCATTAAAGCATCCTTCAAAACAAAGAAACAGGACATTACAATGAACGTCATCCAATGTTATGCACCTACCAACGATTACAATGACGACGTTAAAGATCAATTCTACGAAAGGCTGCAGGCAATCGTCGAAAAATGTTCACCAAAGGATTTGACGATTCTTGTGGGAGACCTGAATGCCAATGTTGGAATGGACAACACTGGATATGAGGACATCATGGGACGACATGGACTGGGAGAAAGAAACGAAAACGGTGAGAGATTTGCAAACCTATGTGCCTTCAACAAACTGGTCATCGGTGGCACAATATTCCCGCACAAACGCATACACAAAGCTACATGGATTTCACCGGATCACACTACTCAAAACCAGATTGATCATATCTGTATCAACAAAACGTTCAGAAGGACTATGGAGGATGTGAGAGCCAGGAGAGGAGCTGATATAGCCTCAGATCACCATATGCTAATCGCCAAAATGAAACTGAAACGAAAGAAGCACTGGACAACGGGACAGACAACATCACACAAGTTTAATACGGCATTTCTTCGGGATACTGTAAAGCTCAACGAATTCAGGATAGCCCTCACCAATAGGTTCCAGGCCTTTCAGGATCTACACAATGGAGAGGACGCAACATTGGAGAACAATTGGAAAAGGATTAAGGAGGCAATCACTTCAACATGTCAGGAGGTCCTTGATCGCAAGAAGTACCATCACAAGGAATGGATCTCTGTTGATACTCTTGCAAAAATTGAAGAAAAGAGGAACAAGAAGGCAGCAATCAATGTCAGCCGAACAAGAGCAGAGAAAGTTACCGCACAAGCTGCATACACAGAAGCAAACA